GTGCCACAAGTGCAAGTGCTCCACGAACATGGAGCACGGGACGTGGAGATGGAGTCAGTAGAGGGGGACAACTCCCATGATGAGTTCGACCCAGACGATCTGGATGGCCCATCCACTTCGGCAGCCGTGGTAGCAACGGCCACAGCCGGGGCAGGTGGATCGTCCATGATCCAGAGGGTACGGATCTCAGCTATATCGGACCTGAAGGAGTTCACGGGCAAGGATCAAGATGAGGACCGAGCGAGAACATGGACGCTCCCTTTCGATAAAAGGGGGCCTGTGAACTGCCGTTCACTGAGCGTTTGCATACTCTCGGAAGCTAACTTCCTCTAGCGCAAGGTGCTGTGTGACCCCGTCACAGCCAGAGGTTTTGCACTAAGACTTGCACATTTGAGAACCCTAATAATTTTGTGGCCTTTTTTCAACTTTTGTAATTTTGGCATTCATAGGCTGAGTCAGAAAGATAGCTGCGGTCCGCAAGCTAAACCCCAAATGTATTGAAAAGGCCGAGTGTAGCCATACAAAAAGGTAGAAAAAAGCAGCCATTTTTTTTACAATACTGCTGGTACTGTAGTAAGTCTGAATGAGGTCCCATCGGGTTTCGACAGGGACTAATCACGACTAGTATGCTTAAATAAATATTCGATCAAGGATAAGAGCACATCGACGATCACATGCGACGCCAAGAACCTGCAGCTCTTCCTGGTGAAGAAGAAGAAAGGCGCTGGGGTAAGGCTAACGGAGAACGACGTGAAGGACGATGTCAGTGACACGAGTGATTTGAAGCTATTGGGCGTTGCAGGAGCGCCGCTCAGCTTGGTTTGCTTGTCGGAGAAGGACGTCAAATTCGTACCCACGCTAGAGGATGTCGAGTCGATGAACACACCTGTTCACGTGCTGGTGGCGTTGCCTCCTGGGACAAGTAGTGCGCCTATTTCTGATGGGACGGACTTATGGCTGTCGAGATTTCAACATAGTGAAGTTGCAAAACTTACGCTACTGCCGACACGCGGAGATCTAAATGAATTTATCGGACAACCTCTCCCTGTAAAGATTGGGTTACCGCAGTCTGTGTTTCAAGCTTGGTCGAGTCCATTGATACTAGGCCAACTCCTTCGAGATAAATTGCTCGAGCTAAGGCCGGTTCCTAACGGGATCATCATCGGATCATGATCTACAAACTCGATACCTGATTGGCTAAAAAAATACATATGTTTATTTTTAGTTACAATCGATGATCTCAAATTGGGATCATCACTCACTTTGGGATCAGGGGTCACGGGCACCATTCAAGAGAAAGACAATGAAAGTATCTCGCATTGTGGTCTGTCTCGCCGTTGTAGTTGCTGTGAGCGAATTACGTCGTCGACGTAGATCGAACGTTGTTTCACGCAAACGTTTGGAATGGGAGCCGCATCGAGATCGACTAGTGCAAGAAGGACAATTCGATCGCTATTATAGAATGAATGTTATAGCATTCGAGCGGCTCGTTGAATCTCTAAAGCCTGTCTTAGAACGCGATCAATTGAAGTCACGGAATAGAACTGGTATCGAACCAGTAACGCCAGTAAACAAGGTACAAATGACTATATCATGGCTCGCTGGAGGAGCCTATAATCTAGTAAATCCAAGCTCTGGCCGGTGTTAGCACCTCTGAATTTTATTCTGCTGTTTATGGAGGTGAAAGAATGCCAATATGGGATGACCTCAAATATCCAATTACGGCTCCTGTTTACGACATGGGATCTATTACTCGAGCAGCATCACAATTGCAGATATCAGTACATACAACATTCTTACGGGTTGTGTTGGTTGTGTGGATGGGTGGTTGCGCACTATAAAAGCTCCAAGTGCAAATGAAGTCCCCGACGTATCAGCTTTCTTTTCGGGTCACTACTTGTGCTACGGTATAAATGTGGAGGCCATGTGTGACGCAGCGTGCAGATTTACCGGTTATTGTTTTACCTCACCAGGAAAGGTTTCGGATAGTGTTGCTTTTAAAAAGTGGGCCATTGCACACTGCTATCTCCAATTTACCCTTTGGGTATTATGTCATCGGTGACAACGCGTACCCATTGTCATCATCCGTGCTGGTGCCCTTTACGAAACCGGAGATCAAAACCAGAGATTATTCCGACTACAATTTTTATATATCCCAACTACGCATTCGAATTGAAATGTCCTTCGGTCTCCTGGTTAATAAGTGGCAAATAATTATAAGGAAATGCCGGTGCGTTAATGTTTTGCTGTAATACTGTGTATGTGTATGATTGTAGCGTTCCGGTCACCACACAAGCGAGAAGGTTCTTTTTTACGCATTTGGTGGGACACTAGTGGTGGCTAACAGGACGGTCTACAGTAGAAAATATCTAGAAATGTTGAGCTTAAAGCTTCTCGTTGCTTTCACTATCAACCAAGTGCATGAATTCACCACTTCCTCCATAGGTAAGATTACACTGAGAATACCTTTAGGTATGGACAGCCCACACCGGATTAATTCCACGGTACTGCGTAACTCAGAGGTGGTTCACATGGAATGTAAGCTGAATGTCGAGCAA